CCAGCTCCCGACAGACGTGGATGTGGTGAGTGAGTGATAGCACAGCCGCCACCGGTCGCAGGCAGGCCACCCCCGGACCTCAGCGCCCCACCAGATAGGCCACCCCTGGGACCTCAGCACCCAGTCAGAGAGGCCACCCCCAGACCTCAGCACCCGGTCAGAGAGGCCACCCTCAGGGCCTCAGCACCCGGCCAGGCCACCCCTAGACTTCAGCACCCAGGCAGACAGGCCATGAGGGGGTTGTGGCATAACTGGATGCAGAGAGAGACAAAGAGAAAGAGAGAGACAGAGAGACAAAGAAACAGAGAGCGAGAAAGAGAGAGAGACAGAGAAAGAGAAAGACAGAGACAGAGAGAGAGAGACGGAGAGAGCCGCAGGCAGCAGGCTGTGGGCTGAGCAGACTCGCAGGGGCCGGTCCTGTGCCCCGTGCCCCGGGGCCAAGCACTCACTGTGGGCACATCCATAGGCCTCCACGCGCATCCCAATCCTGCTGTCTGGGTTCCAGGCCACGGGCAGGAAGCGCAGGTGCCGGGCCTCCAGGGGCGGCTGCAGCCTGTGCTGTACCACGCTGTCCGCATTCGCGTTTCCCAGAAAGCCCTGCAAGAGAGGGGGCTCAGTGGCCGGGGTCTGCCCCTCCAAGGAGAACGGGCTGCAGGCAGGACCCTCCCTCCCCGGGGTCTCTGCCCCTCTCCTCTCTTCGGTCTCCCGTCCCCAGCCCACCCGCTCCCCAGGCAAAGCCGCTCGCAGACCACTCGGACTGAGACGGCGCCGCAGCCACGGACCCCCGGGTTCCTACGTTGAAATTGAACCCCCAGACAATGGTTTTGGAGGTGGAGCCTTTCGGAGGTGCTGGGGTCTCAGGGCGGAGCCCATGACGGGACGGGTGTCCTTGTGGAAGAGACCGGGGAGAGGTAACCACCAGGCAGTGGCCTGGACGTCCACCCTGACACCAGGTTTGCCCTGACCCCGCACTGGGAAGCGAGTCTCCGTCCTCGATAAGCCGCCGCACCTGTGCTGTTTCGTTGCAGCGGCTTGAACGAGGGACCAGGGCACACCCCATCAGGAGGCAGGAGATGGGAACTCCCTCCAGCTGTCCTGGGGCCGTGGCAGTGACCGGGGACGGCCTCCAGCCCTGACCACAGGGTCTCACAGGTCTAGGCCCCGGCGGGAGCCAGGTGAGGCCTCAGCTCAGCAAAGCCTCTGCCTCCGCCCCCGTTTCCCTCCTGGTCACGCTGTTCTGAGGCCTGCGAGCCGGCCGGCGGTTCACTTCTGAGCGGAGATGCTGTCTGGCTGCCCCACTCCCGCAGAGGCTTCCGGTCCCAAGGGCCTTCCCCGCAAGGCTCCGGTCCGAGGCCTCCCGCAGAGAAGCTCCGTGTCCAGGGCCTTCCCTGCTTACGAGGCTCCGGTACCAGGCCTCCCCCGCAGAGATACTCAGGTCCAGGGGCCTTCCCCCCAGAGGCTCCGGCCGAGCCTCCCCGCAGAGAAGCTCCGGCCCAGGGCCTTCCTCAGAGGCTCCGGCCGGGTACCTCCCTGGTCCGAGCCTTTCCCCGCAGAGGTATCCGGTCTGAGGCCTTCCCCCGCAGAGGCCCGGCCCGAGGCCTTCCCCGCAAGGCCACTCCTAAAGCTCAGCCCAGCCCAGCCCTGACCAGGCGTTTCTGTGAGCTTGTGTTGTGGAAAACAACGCGTGAGCTTCATGCCTAATCTCCAGGTCACAGAGTTTCACCGTAAAACACACAGCTGAGGACGCACAGGACGAGAACCGCAAGGGTAGCCCTCGGAGTCGCAGTCATGAGGAGCGGCGCCGGCCGGGCGGGCTGTGGGGCCACGGTGGTTCCCAGCCCTCCCCTCCCCTCCTGCAGCCCCTGGGTTTGGGCACAGAGGGTGGGGTAGCGGAAGGCCACCGCACGGACTCGTGAGGCAGCCTGGCGTCGGTTTGTCCAGAACAAGACAGACTCGCTCAAAGGATCCCCTTTTAAAAATCTCTGCAACGTGAAAAATACTAGCACAAAAGCGTTATAATATCGGATGTGAGACATCCCCAACCCCAATATCAAACGCCATTCGACGAGTCGAGTCAGGGCACCTTGTGGAGGGTTATCTGCAGCGCCGGGCGGAGAGGAATCGTGTGAATTCGGGTTACTATTAAAACACAGAGGCAGCGTCGTGAGTGAGGAGGATGCGTGTGAATTCGGGTTACTATTAAAACACAGGGGCAGCGCCGTGAGTGAGGAGGACACGTGTGAATTCGGGTTACTATTAAAACACAGGGGCAGCGCCGGGCGTGAGGAGGACGCGTGTAAATTCGGGTTATTATTAAAACACAGAGGCAGCGTCGTGAGTGAGGAGGATGCGTGTGAATTCGGGTTACTATTAAAACACAGAGGCAGCGCCGTGAGTGAGGAGGATGCGTGTGAATTCGGGTTACTATTAAAACACGGGCAGCGTCG